AGGAGGAGCTCAGGGCATGAACCCTAATGTAGGGGCCTTAATAATCCGAATAGGAAATTGGTGTCCTTTATAGTAAGATTATAATAAGGAACTTCAAGGAATAGTAGGGGCAAATATTTGGGCCTCGATATTAGCTGCAAAGTCCTATGACTCAGCATCCTAAACCCCAAACAGGGGCCCAGCTAAGCTCCTGGAGGAGAGTCTCACATAAGATGCTCTTCAGCCACCTCCCACGGAGAAGGTCCCTTATCCCCTACTTGGAGGGTCGGGGGACTTAGTAAGTAGGTAGTAAGTAGACTTATAAGTACCCTAAAAGGGACCCTAATTGGGGTTATGGTACTTATAAGTCCCTAAAATAACCAGCTACTAAGTCCCCCGACCCTCCAAGTATGGTCAACCTTAGGCCCCCTCAAACAAAAAGGGCAAAAGGATATGATTACTGGAGGACCAAGACCACATAGGGGAAACGACCAAAGATCCCACTCTAGCGGCCTTGATAACTAAACCTCGGCTGTTTTGGTGGCTCCTTACTGTAATTATAGTCAAAAATACCCCCTAAACCCTAAACCCTAGATCCCCCAAACCATATTCCGACGATGAAGGCACCTAGATTATGGGCCTAAAAGTAGCGCGGCAAAGCAAAACAGCGAACCCGACAGGGCTTTGGCTTTGAGCTTCCTGTGTCCAGGAGGTACAGCACAGGTTTCGAAGTCTCCGAAATCCCACAAACCGGAGCCCAAAAAACCCAATGTTTAAGCACACCCCAACAACCTGAAACCCTAAAGCCCAAGACTCTAACCCCACTTTGCAGCCAAAGAGGGTCACGCTGGTGTCCGTGGTTGCTTCTAAACGCCGAGCCCTAAACTTTCAACCCGAAACATGCCACCTGTTGCATCTTCCGGCGTGTCACAGTTTTGCCTTCAGGGTCCTTACTTGAGGGATGACGGGGCGGTGCACGTACGGTTACAAGTACTGACACTTATTCGTGTTATAGCCCCAGCCCAAATGAAGTACTCGTAAGTCTCCTGGAAGGAAGTGTAACCCTAGCGGTGCTCTGCGGGACAAGCAGCAACTACGTAAGATAGGGGCGTTAATAGAACCCCGTGCAGATACCCTTCAATCAACGCTATTCTAGTTCTTAAGCGCCCCCCCACACATGAACTCCTGAAAATCCCGAATAGAACCCTTAAAGACCCCTTACAAACCCCATATAACCCAGCAGCCACGGGTGACCCAAAAGAATCTCATTCTGCAATAAAAGGCGGTCAGGCAGCTCGAGACGCTGCCCGGAAGCTAGGCAAGGCGGAACCCTCAAGCCGTAAGGGTTTAGGCTTTACGGTGTAGGGTTTAGGGTTGAGGGCTAGCCCCTGGACACTCCACAGTCTAGAACCAGAAAGCGTAAACCCCCGCCCGAAGCCATAACCCCCTCAAAAACAAAGCAGAAAACACACAGCTGAAAACGATATAGTCAACGTCTTCAGCTCTAGCATATAACTCAAGCCAAGGATAGACCCGGGGAATGGAGAGTAGAGTATTGTTGCGCTTTTCAAGTAAACCTGGAAAGTCGGGTTTACTGGCTGGGGTTCGTCAACCCTTAACCCCTTAACCGTGAAACCTGAACCTGAACCCTTAACCCTGGGAGTTTCCCCTAAACCGCTAAACCCCTAAACCGTAAACCCTGAAGTGGACTTCACAGGTTGCTGGGCAGGATATCTGAGCTACTTGTCCAAAGAGGTGTTAGGTTTTACGGTTTTACGGCTTGGTGCCGTGGGTTGCTTTAGGCACTGACCTTTGGAGTGTTGGGGTTTAGGAGTTCGGGCTTTGGGGCTTTCAGGGTTTAGGACCTGAGGTTTAAGGCGTCAGGTAAGGGTCTTTGCAAAGCTCAGACCAAAAATCACTTTAGGGGCCTCAGTATTATGCGACAACAACACAAACGAACACCCGAATGAAACACATTGGTCATCTAGGTTCCTCAGTAGCCCCCTACTAGTCAGGCTACCGTTGTTCCTGCCAGTGGGTGTGAACAAGCGAACCCAGAAACAAAAAGGCAAACTGTTATTCCTGGGAAACCGGGGAACCTAGTCATCACCCAAGCCCTAAATTGAATGCCCGGTGGAAGAACCAGGCAGGTTGTCTGCGAGCACCAAGCCTTTTGCAGAGACGCTGAGGAATCGGCAGGCGACACACATGCCCCGCCCCTCGATCACTCTACTGGTTTCGGGTTTAAGGCAGTTTAAGTCTCGTTCCACAGCAACACTACTCCGACAAGGTAACCCTAAGCCTTTAACGCCTAACTCCAGCAACTCTCCACCCTGCACCCTGAATCCCCCAACCCTCGTCGGCCCCTACATTCCTTCTCTTCTGCGGGGCTTCGAAAAAACCAGGGAAAAACTGTAATGGTGTTTGGAACTCTAACTGACAAGACCTTCTACATCGCCAGCCCGCGTAAAAGCAAACATACAAAGCTGAAGGCCATCCCAATACCTGAGCCTGAAGGATT